CTTAGTGCAGCAAACTCCTACACCTCTTACCCTCGACATAGTTCTCCTCTCCTTTTTCCCCTGTATAGATGACGTAATTCTCTTTCATCACGCGCTCCTCCTTAGCACTAGCAGCAACAACAGCTCGGTGACTGCGGCGCTCCTGCCACCTTTCTGGAAGAAATTTGGTAGGGATATCAGAAAACAAAGTTGGATTTATCACGATTCTGCTCCCACTGGTCTCTCTTTTCCTTTTCGATGAACGCCTTGGCATACTGCTTCTGTCCGGCTTCGTTCTGACGACGACCACTGCCGTCTATGGCGATCGCCTCAGGGCCCACCTTTTTTTTCTCCAACTCTAAACGCTCCTCTGCAGTGAGACTACCCAAAAACCTGTTGGAAACTACCAGTTGTATTGATATCATGTTTTCAGTCTGCTTACCCGGGCTCTTGATTTTCGCCCTCATCGTCACTGGGGGATTCTTCCTTGGGCGGTCTCCACTTATTCTCGTGGCTTTTACTCCGACTGCGTCGGTCGTCCTTCCTTCCCATTTAAGAATAGAAATTAAGTTAACTTGTCGACGAAATCAATAACAACCATCTGCAGTTATCATTCACAAGGCAATCTTCACTGCAGCCGTTTACTTAGCACGTGAGTACTTTTTGACCACAACTAGGAAAGGAAAGCTCACTTGAGTGATAGGCCCGCCCATGAGGCTACTACAACCTCCCAAAGACTAGTGATACTGTTATAGACTTGGATGCGACGCTCATCTGCTAGCTTGGCTACGAGGAGTCGTTTTTAAAATATGAGATTGACTCTGAGTGGCGGCGAAAGGCTTCGATTGACGATGCTCATTCCGCATCGCTCCGCTGATTTCGTGAAACATGTTTCGTTATTTTCTTGTCAGCGCGTTTACTGTTCATGCCAAGTCAACTATCATCACCAACGTTAAAGTTTCCCAGGGCGATTGGGGCCACTGAGGTTGGCTCGCTCCAGAGACAGTACAGGGCCTTTAGAGCGCTGTAGACGTCAAGACCGGTGACACTACGATAGGCGTCATTAGAATCCTCCGTCCCGAGACGCACAGTGACGCCTTATGGCTTCGGGTGGTTGCGGTGCCCTAACATGCACCTAACAGGTGAAGAGTGTTGTGGTGATGCTCCTGACTGAGTTAGAATCTTGTATTACCTTTAACTGATACATTTCGATTATTGAGTGGCCATAGTACCACGTGCCATAGTAAACACGACGTGGCGGTGGACACGGGGGCTCGTGAGTCTTGATCTGAAGAGATTTACTTTAACAATCTGGGAGAGTTCTATGCAATTCGATCGCCTTGTGTGTCAATCGTCGACAGTATTCTATTTCCGAAGGAATTTCATAAGAAAAAAAGGCGCATCCTAGGGTATGGCGCTAGTAGTAGTAGTAGTAGTAGTAGTAGTAGTAGTAGTAGTAGTAATAGTAATAGTAATAGTAATAGT